CCCCCCCTCGGTGAAGCTGCTCCGGGTTACCTCTCTGGGCCACGTACACGCGCCCGGCGTGCTGGTCGGCGGCCACGGCGAACACCTCCCCGCTGAACAGCTCGGGGCTGCGGGGCCAGCTGGGGTCCAGCCTGTAGAGGGGCCGCCCCCCCGGCCGGGGGTCGCAGCGCGCGTGCATGCTGCTGATGGGGCCGTGCAGCGCGCTGAGCAGGAGCAGGAGCAGGGAGGCCGAGCCGGAGGCCAGCAGCCAGGCCCGGCCGCTCCGGGCCGCGAGCATCGGGCTCACGGGCACGCGCGTCTGGCCGAGGAGCCTCTGACCGCACAGCGGGCCCTAGAACTGGGCCTCCATGTTCCAGGACACTTCCTGGAGTTTCTGCGGGAGAGGAAGTGACGTGGCAAGTTAGCCCAAAACACACGCGACGTTTCCGTTGGATACAGCAATAAAGTTACCAACAAATGAGAAGACTACATGTAACTGCAATAACTTATGCAATTACTAGTCTGCAATATGAAATATTTATAAATGTATATAAGTCACCTTAAATCTGCCCCCCCCCCGATCCACTGTAAGTATACATATATGTATAAATATGACGCACTGTGTATACCTCATGCACATTTTCCTCCTTTTCGAACCTTATTTTGATTATAAGAGCCGATGCAACACGTGAACTTCTCCACTCATCAATAAAGTTTGTCTTTAAATGACTTTATCAATTAGTGGGATTTTTTTGCAGAGCACCCGTTTAATAAAGAAAAATAAAATGAAAAAAATAAATAAATAAACTTTACAACAAAAGTATTTACAAAGCTGCTCAGTGTCTAAATTACTGTTGTTGCACATGACCGGGTTATTATTAATTATTATCTATTAATAAATGATCTTATCGTGTGAGTCACGACCGATTTTCTGAATATATTTTCAGGAGAAAGTTTTTGTATAGGAATTGTTCTTCTGGTGATATCCATACGGATGTAGTGTGAGAAAGAAAACCCTTCTCTAGTTCTCTTTATTTTAAATTGTTTTACTTTTAAGGGACGTCTTGTTGACTTCCGGTTGATGTTCGATGTGAGCTGCACATGCGCATACGTACGGAGTGGCTGTTACGTCATCACGTTTGGTTGTTTCTTTGCTATGGGCTAAAGGCGACTTCTCTCATTTGACAGCTGTTGTTTCGCCCTTGTTTCTGCAACAGTCCAGGAAGAGCACACACATTTCCTGTAAAGTAAATCATCGAATCGTTTCATGGAGGTCTCCGACAGCCCGCTCAACCTCGTAAGTTGTCTGTGATGTTGCAATAGCCGGCTAACATTTCAGTAGCCTGCTCTAGCTAGCTGCTACACAGCTAAAAGGTGTCTGTCTTTGGTAACGGGGTTTTGTTCTTGTGGTCCGACGTGGACTGGAAACGTAAGGCAGAAACTTGTGTTCCTTTGCCAAACAAGTACAATTTATGCCATTATAATTCAGGTTAAAACTAAATAATAGTTTGTTTATATGTGTTAAATGGAAACTCTGCTCCAGCCTCCATGTCAAAAGAGAAGAATGGGGCTTGTGTGGCAGTTCTCTGCTTTGACATAAAGAACATGAGGATGTTTCTTAATGGAGCACTTCATGAACATTAGCGACTTATTTGCATTGAAACAATCAAATTGTCTACTGTACTATACAGCAGTTTAGTTTGGAAAGTCTTTGGTCTGAGGTCCAGTCCTCAGCGGTTTCTTTAAGTTGTTTTTTCAGCATCAGTTGAGGCTGTTGTTGTTGGTCTGAGTATGTTTCAGGCTGACTTTAGCAGACTTTTTCATCCAAAGGAAAATGGAAAGTTAAACATGAAATTTATGTATTATTACTAAAAGAGCTCCTTTTCTAATACAGACCAAACAGCAAATTCTTTTAATTCCACCCCTGGAACCATCGGTTCCCACGATCTTCTGATGGTCACATTTCAGTCAAAATAAAGCGTCCTGTTGTCAGATCCACATGTGGAGACGTGTGACTGTGCTGTGTGGATGTGTGCGTCTCTTTAGGCTCACCAGCAGTGCAGGCAGGCGGAGCGTTTAGTAGTGGCTGGAAACTATAAAGACGCCATCTCCTGCCACGGAAAAGCTGCAGGTAGGCTCTATGACACTCCCCTAAACTCTTAGCATCGGGTTATCCTAGTTTTTAAAGTGTTGTTGTCACACTTTCTGATGATTTAATTAGGAATACCACACATTTTCGGACCCAGTGAGTCCAAAAATGAAAGTGTGCCCTGACTGGTTGAAGGGCTCGTTGAGGGCTGATTCATATGTGGGTTCTGAGTGCATTGTTCATCTAAGATTCATCTGTAATTATTGTTCCTGTTGCTCCACCAGATCTCCTGACAGAAGCTATGCAGACAACCGAATGTGAGCAGGTGAGTCTCCTCATCTCCTGTGTGTGTATGTACGTATGTGTATAAAATGTATGTATCGGTTCCACCCGGAGCCATTACCAAAGCTCCACAGCGTCCAGAGGTTCCAGTTTAATCAGAACCAGCTGTGCAGAGGCAGGAAAAGTCTCAAACCCAAAGAGGACTGGAGTCTAGGGCTGGGCGATTTTTTGATTTTGATTTTATTCGCAATGTAAAATTTCTCTACTATTATAAATGAGACGTTAGATAAGCCAACGCCTTTAAAAGATAAGTCATCAAAGTTTTCACAGACCTGCGAAAACCCAATCATATCTAAACAGCGCCGCACATAAAATATAAAACCTTCTACAAATTTAAAAATGAGCCAGAACTCTGTTTAGGGGAGCTCTGACAGGAAGAGAAGAGCCTGAGAAGAGGAACTTTGGGTGTTTGAAGTGGGACGAACAGCAGAGTAAAACACAAACTGTAGAAGGAACGGAGCTCCTAAAACAGGAAACACCCGCATTTAAGACTGTTAAGCTAATTTGGTTAATTACATTTGTAATATTCCAGAAAATAAAAATAGAGTGATTTTGTTCATAAAAACGAAATCAAACATTTTTTTGGGGGGGAAAAAATGTAAATCTAGCTTCTTCTCACGTGGCCCGGCCCTAGCTGGACCTAAGCTAGTGTGTGCTGACCGGCTGCTGCCCCCCCGCAGGCGCGCCTGTCCATGGAGCTGCAGCGGGACAGCCACATCAAGCAGCAGCGCCTCATCCAGGAGCGCTGGAAGAGAGAGGCCCGCCGCCAGGCCTCCCGGGCCGGCCCCGGCCCGCTGCCCCCGGGCCCCGGACAGGCCCCCGGCCAGGCCCCCGGACAGGCCCCCGGCCAGGCCCCCGGACAGGCACCCGGCCAGGCCCCCGGACAGGCCCCCGGACAGGCCCCCGGACAGGCCCCCGCGGGCGCCGGCCCCCCGGCGGACGGCGGGGGGGGGGCTGGCGAGCGCGAGTACGACACCCTGCTGTACCAGCTCCAGGTCCGGCAGAGCGGCGGCGGCCGGCCGGCGGCGCCCCCCTGTTCCGGCTCCAAAACCACCAAAGACGACAAGACCCGGCTGGAGGAGCAGCTGACCACCATCCAGGACCTGCGGCGGCTGGTGGACCAGCTGATGACCGAGAACCAGCGGCTGACCGCCGACAACCAGCGGCTGAGCCTGGAGAACGCGCGGCTGACCTCGGAGGCCGAGGCCGAGCGCTCGGAGCTGTGGGTGCTGCCCCAGGCCGCCGGCGCCATGGGCCCCGGGGGGGGGCTGGAGAGGAAGAGCAAGGGCAAGGAGATAGCCATCCCCCAGCTGCCCCCCCTGGAAATGCCAGCCAAAGAGGATCTGTGTCTGGACGACCTGCCCCCCCTGGAGCTGCCAGAGGACATCCAGAACGAGCTGCAGGAGCTCCTGGACAGGGACAAGCTGTGATGACCCCCCCCCAACACACACACACACACGCACACACACACACACGGGCGCTCCATCGCCAGCACGTGGGTCTAGACTGGTGTGAGACTCGGAGCCAGACTGGCTCAGGTCACCAGGACACACTGTTTCATCTCAGATGGGCTCCAGGACAGGGTGACCTTTGACCCCGCCCAGATAAGCCTCCCGGGTGCTACCCGACCGGCAGGGACCTTTTCTACGAGCCAGTTTTTCCCTCTCTGATTAGCAGAGCCACCAGGTGTGGGGGGGGGGCTGGTGAACAGGGAGTTTGGTCTTTTCAGTTCAGTTCAGTTGGATTTCTGTGGTGCCAAAGCACAACAAACCCTCCAAAAATACAAGCCAATTAGAATCCAGTTCACTGTAACCACATCAAAACCCCGTCAGGTCAGATGGATTCAGATTATAGTCATAAAAACAAAGTAACGGTCATTAATAACACCATATTGAATTTGAACTGTGCCAAACGACAGCAGAAGCCTCTGAGAGACTCCCAGCTCATGTCACTGTGCTCCAGTTTGTTTTTTCTCAGAGAAGGGGGCAGAGAGAAGCACTGGAGCTTGGGGAATGAAGACTTGTTCATGTAGATGGAGGTAACCGGGGCCTTTGGTCTGGGTGCAGACCGGTTATGCTGCATGAGCTGCTCTCATCTCCGCCCACTCCGGTTTAGGGCTGAAAACCATGTGGCTGCATTTTGATATCCTGTAGCAGACTTAAATTAAACCTGTCATTATCATGTGTGTGTACACAGAGTTGTTATGTGCTGATCAGTGTACCGGGGGGAGAACGAGACTCTATTTTTATTACGTTGTTCATTGATGTTTTTGTGTGAAACAGCAATACACAAACTTCCTGGTGTCAGTGGTCCTGTAAACAACACCTGTGGCCTTCATCCCCATTGGATGACCTAAAGCCTCCTTCATTTGAGCATTACAGGTGTAAAACACCTTCTGTTGGGGGGCTCCACATCAGGCCTGCTGGTGTTCACTGGTCTGGCTTACTGTGGGGGCCCAGCCTATCATACAGCAGTAAAGACAGGAGGCCCAATCAGAAGCTCTGTCAGTTAGCCTGCAGACATGAGCCTAAAACGGACTAAACCACTGTCCTATAAAGCTGGAGGGTTCTCCTTCTGTTGTGAAACAGCAGGAGATGACTAGTATGTAAAGATCCTAAATAATAAATGCTATATTTGTCCTGTCAGAACACGTACTGGGCAGCTACGTTTGGCTCGTCTCATTTAATCCGTTCACTCTCTGTTCCCCACCTGAGGGGGGGGGGCCGGGAGGGACTCTAACCTAGTCTGCTTTCACCTGGAACACGGGAGGAGTCGATGTTGGAGTCCCGGGGGAACCAGGACCAGAGGGTTCTGGGTTGGAGTCCTGGGGGAACCAGGACCAGAGGGTTCTGGGTTGGAGTCCCGGGGGAACCAGGACCAGAGGGTTCTGGGTTGGAGTCCCGGGGGAACCAGGACCTTTCTGGGTGGAGTCTGCATGTTCTCCTGTGTCTGTGGGTTCTCTCCGGGTTCTCCGGCTTCCTCCCACCGTCCAAAAACCTGCATGTTAGGTTGTTGGACTCCAAACTGCCCTTAGTGTGAGTGTGTGTGGTTGTGGGTCCTTGTGTGTCTCTGTGTATCCCTGTGATGGACTGGGGACCGTCCAGGGTGACCCCGCCTCTCCCCATTGGCCACTGGGATAGGCTCCACCCCCCCCCCCCCCCCCCCCC